GCTTTCCTCATTCCTCAGTTTGCCTCTTCTCATTCATTCAGAAATAACCACCTTTCCTTCATTTTGAAATATCTCTCCATACTTTATACCTTCTGTTACCAAAAAGATACATTTTCCTTTCCATCATAATTACAATTCTTAACCATCGTCTTTATATATATATTACTATTTTCCCATTATCAGTATTTGTAACTTCCTGGGGATGCATATCTAGTTTCCTCTGGGAGTGATGAAATAGATGGGGTCCCCAGAGAACTTGGTCCCCGCTCAGAGTGTGAGGGTGAAGGGGGAGTGTGGCAGCCTGACCCTGCTCTAATGAGTTCGTTCCTGACTGCCCTCCCCTCACCTCAAGGATTCTTCAGCTAACATCAGATTTTCCATGGCTTGCCAACCAACTAATGTCCTTCCTTATCTCTGTAGCTGTGTAGGAATAACAAGACTGTATAAAACTGCCTGTTATGTTACAATCGGGGCTCAGCCTTTGGATAGGAATCGGCTGAGGTGGTGCCGGCATCAATAAACGTTGCTTCCTGCTTATAGTCTCGGGCGTCCCGTCTCTCCGTTCGAGAATCCTGCAATAGGAGAAAATTTCCTGATTATTTTGAGAGCTCCTATCATCGGGCCATCTAATAAGTCTGGGTCTTGGTAAAGGAGCACAGAAGCTGTACATAGAGGACTTATTCCCACGTTTCCTGTTTCTTACAAAAAAGATCTAATCGTAGAACAGTATTGTAGTTTAGCGAACCGTTTTCAGGCCAAAATTCCTGCTCCCCATTCATCGTTAGTTTGGAAGGAGGAGGGGCCCCTACGGGTCCTCGCTGCAGGAATTGCTGCCCCATGTTTCACTGACAGCTGGGTCGCGGGGCTACAGTTCCTCCCTTCCCTGCAGGGTGCAAGCTGGGAAGTGCCGGAGCCGCTGGGGAGGGAGAAGGAAAAATATTCTCCCCTTCCTGGGAATCATACCTGGGAACCCTGGGTAAAAGAACTGAACCTTAACCCCTAAGACACTAGGGAATACAATCTTGGCTGCGCTTGAATGTGAAAGTGTGTTACTCCACCCCAGACGGGTGTATATGCGCCCTGTGGCATGGTGCCACCTGGAAAGACGAGGGTGGGGGGTGGGGTGGGAATCACGGGTCTAGGCCTGTCACCGCCAGCAGGGGCAAGTGCGGTACGGGTCTGGGCCCACTACTGCGACAAGCGTGCATGGGAGTTCACCTGCAGCTCCAACAGGGGGCATGCAGGTGGGGGTCCTGGACCCGCTGCTGCCAGAGTTGGAATGGCAGCATGAGTCTGGGCCCTGTCACTGCCCCAAGCCTGCACAGCGATTTACCTGCGGCTCCAAGGGAGAGAGACAGAGAGACAGAGAAATTCAGGGATATTAACAGAAGGCTAACTTTTCGGGGGGAAAAACTACCTTGAAGTCCCACACTGTAGGGGACACAGCCAGGGAACCCGATGCATTCGGGACTGGCCCGCCCGGTGCTCAGCTCTGAGCTATACTTGGGTCACTCTGAGATCGTTCTGGTGTCCCAGAGCCAATCGAGAAATGAGGACTGGACAGATAGGGGACAAAGTTAGGAGAGTTCAGTTGAGCTGCTACTGTGCCCCCGCCTGCTCCCTGTTAGAGTTCCCGCAGGAGAAGGGAGGGAAGGAGGAAAAGGCTAAGGGGCAAGATCGGGGCGTGAGCCCGGACAAGCTTCCGCAGCCCCTGCGTCCCCAGTTGTGAGCCCCCAGCGAAAATGAAAGCAAGGGGCTGAGAGGAAGGAACAGAAGATTCCCCCAGGGGCTCACCCTTCCTGTTGTGGCCCCTGTTGTGGCCGAAATGTGCTGCGCAGACTTTTAATTTGGAGTTTGGACGGGGTCCCTATGCAGATATTCTCTGCAATTCCGATGGTGACACCGAGCCAGGGAAGTTAGAAAAAAAAAAATAGTGGGAAAAGTAGACAGGACCAGTGGACTCCTGCTCGGTCAGAGAACACATCTCTCACCAGCCCCCTAGAAACGGCGTCAACCGTTTGCCCAAGGCCAGTTGAAATGAATCCCAGCCACTCTCAGATGAGCGGAGCCCTGGCGAACTTGGGTGGGACGAATTTATGTCCTTCGCGGCCACCAGTGGGGAGAATCGTAGGCCGCCGGGGGAGGGCTGGGGTTACTGGGTGGGATGAAGGCATCGCAGGCCTCCAGGCGCCATGACTCTCCCCAGTAGGTGGCGCTCACGGTTTCCTTTGTTTAGTTTCTTAATTGGTTACTGTACTTGAACAACTGGATCTGTGATTTGCCATTCACTACTTGCATAGCTGTAGTGAATGGGGATCCTGTTTTTTGTTCTCTCACTTTTTGACGGTCACACATTTTATTTTTTAAATACATGTAGGGTTCAGGGGGCTTTGTAAGCCCTAAATATCACTATTGGTATACCTTTTCCTAGCCCTGGGCTGGAAGGAGGATGTGGGGAGGAGCTCGGTTCTGAGGGTCAGTGAGTCTGTGCCTCGTTTTCCTCATTTGTGTGCATGGGGGGAATGGGTTCATGCCCTCACCATATTCAGGTGTTAATCAGGGAGAAGCACTGATGGATAGCCGGTATAGAGTACCCCCATTGGGTGACCCGCCAGGTGCCAGATGGCCTTTGCCACCTCATGTCCCTCATACCTGGAGACACCAGGGCTCAGAGATAGGGAGACATGACTCCTGAGACGGAGGTGGGGTGGAGACATCAGCCAGTGTTGTTTGCCTCAGGGCTGGAGCTCTGTCTCCAAGGTACCCAGCCTGCTGGGGAGCTTGTAGAGATGGCTGGGAGACCATGATGCACAGATGGACGGATTTTAAGCATGTGAAAGAGTGGGAGGAAAAGTATTAAAGTATAATGTTTCTGAGTCTTGGTCACTTGTCTGCCCTGCCTCCAGCCAGCTGCCCTGGACCCAGGGGGACAAGGAGCCCTTTTCTGAGCCATTGATGTGTCTGGGGGCCAGAGGAGCTGGCCCTAGAACCTGGTGAGCCAGATGTCGTCCCAGGGCTCAGCCTCCTCACCTGTTAGGTGAGGTGAGCAGCCTTCCCTGTAGGGGGGCTCTTGAGTACCTCAGGAAGCACAGTGCTGGCTGGCCACGTGATAGACCCTGACGAAACCATTCCTGTGTCCCCATCCTGCTTCTCCTCATCCTCCATCCATCTTCCCTTCCCTTCCCCCATTCCTCAGATGCTAGGCTTGCTAAGCCAGAGAACTCGGAGGCAGCCAGCTGTCTCCCTCTCCAGTGCTGCTGACTCAGCCCTTTTCCTGGTAGCAGCAGAGTGGGGAGAAGGGGAGGGTGGCTCCCCTTGGCTCCTTGCCTCTGTAGCCCTGGCTCTGAGCCCTGGGAATGCTGCCTGGGGCAGGGCCATGTAGAGGACACAGCCAGTGTGGACCCGACAGTTTTCCCAGCAGCCATGGTCTTTCCATTTGCTTTCCTTTGGGGTCCCTTGGAACCCTAAATACATGGGGCAGGGGGTGGCTCC